CACGTATAAGCAGTCTTTTCCCCTAGCTTGCCGGTTTTCCTTCTTTGTTCCCCCCACCTCTCTCTATCCTTCTCTCTTTATTTCTCTTCAATTAAGTCTTCAAATTCAATCATTTGATTTCTACAGACATTATCACCGGGGCGAGAAAATACCGCCTAGTCCCTATTTTCTCCTCTTTAGAATTCAGGATAAAATTGTCAGATTTGCTTCTTTTCAGTAACGTTCATAATAGTATTTTAATAGCAGAACATTTCGCTTAGAATAATATTTGAAAGCATCTACGAGTGCCTCGCTTTCGAGAATATATGAATATCACATTATTGCCGCCCGTTTTGTGCTTTTGGTATGAATAGTAACAATTTCAGATAAAGATTGTTCTAAGATTTTCTGAGTCTAACGCATAGAAGTTTGACTGATTTGATTTTTTACGACTTATCAACCTTTTACAGGTTATTTAAAGCCAGTAAATACTTTTAGATTGCAAGATATTTTTTGTGATTATAATGATTTGCCAATACAAGTTCTACTATTTAACTCATAGCTGGGGGAGAAGAGGTGGATTCATACATTCCCTAAGGGTATTAGCGCGTAAGTATAATATTACGAACCTGACTGTAATTGGGAAATCAGCTTCTCCGATTTCCAATTACACGTCGTTATCCATTACAACACCCGGACATCCAATCTTTACAACACCTGTTATTCCCATCTAGGTAGGGCCAAGGTTGACGTTGCTTAACTTTTGAAGGTTGTATTGGATCTATTTTCTATGTGTTTTATACATGTTGCCTGAGTCTATTTATCTATTCGAGGATACCCGTCTACTCAGGCACATTTGTGTTTGTTCAACATTCACAGAGCCCACCTGTAGTTTTGTTATGGTGAAACACACCTATTCTATAGTTAATAGACTCTCCCACCTAATATAAGTAGCAGTAGAAAGAGAAACGAAGGTCAGTCGCTGTCGGACGACCGGCTAAACGGTTGAACTCTCTGCCTTCGGGCGGGGAGGTAAACCGACCCTGAACCCGTTTATACGGGTTCAAAGGGTATATTTTTGGCCGAGCCCACGGGCTCGGAGATCCCACGGGCTCGGAGATCCCACGGGCTCGGAGATCCCACGTTAAACCGGCCTTGTGCTACAGGATACCCTCGTGGGGGGTGACTAAATACTAGTCGCTGTCAGACGATAGTCGAACTCACTGCCTTCGGGCAGAGAGGAACCCAGGGCAGAGTTTCGTCCGAGGAGGTAGACAGACCCGATCCCGTTTATGCGGAGTCTACGGGGATTTTTTGCCCGTGCCTACGGGCTCGGGAACCCCACATTAAATTCGGCCTTCTGCCACATGTGACTGCGTGGGGCAGTTACTAAATAGCGTCGGTGTCGGACGACAGTAGTCTATAGTTAGTCGAATACGAAAGTATTCAGCGACCACAACAAGATTACTCTGCGTAATACCTATTATATCAAGTTCCTAACGTTTTGTAAGTCGAACTATTTAGGACCTATTTAGTGCAAATACAAACCTCCACTGCGAAATAACTCCACAACAAGTTTATACTGCAACTATGCTGAGCAGACCTTAGTAACTGTTTCTGGGAAAGAGCGTGTTACCTAGCACAGTGTCAAACACTCAAGGAATATTGTCTTGCTCTAATCGTTCAAGGAAGCTGTATTCAAAATGTTGCCTGTCAGAATATTAGGCTTTACAGTCAGTCATTTGCTTTGTTTCGAACACGGAACATTATATTCCTAAAATATGAGTGTGCTATTCTTGGTGAGGGCCAAATTATGCTAGTTTTAGAGAATAGCTTTTTATAACACAAGATCAAGTGTCCTCTAGACGGCCTATTTCCAGCGAGGCTAGTTTCTTAAGTATTGTCCTATAGAAAATATTCAAACATATATTTGCAAAAGAATATGATAAAGAGGAGAAGTTCAGAATCCAATGAATATCAAACTCACTATAGTATATAAAGGTCTGTCTTGTTTACGAGTTAACTGTCGTACTATGGTAAACAAAACGAAACTATTTATCGTTCTTCGTCTAGAACAAGAATACACAAATGCAAAACCCTTGAATTTGAACTGACTAAATGGTAGCATTCTAGAAAGTACCAGACTCTCCCTTGGTATGCTCTAACTAAGAGCAGATCAGGCAAAAAAACAACTAATGGAGCATTATTGTCATATCAGGGCTGTATCAATCCTAACATTCCAGATTTAACAGACTCCATAAGCGTCTACGCCAGCTTGTAGGCTAAGAATTATTTCCCACTCTATAATTCCTTTCTTATAGACACAAAATCGCAATCTTATCGTTAAACAATTGTAATTTGCTTGAATATGTCATGAGGAGCTACATGTAGAGCCTCGTTTCAGAATGGTACATTAACCACCTCGTAGAAAGTTACTGAATTTTTGTACAAAACAGGCTCTCCGATTCCTCAATCCAAGCCGCTATCCATTACTCCACCGACTGATCCTCAATCACTGTTCTATACCATTGGAATAAACACATCTTAATGAGATAAGTAGGTACCAAATAAATACATGAGAAGAAACACGGCTTTATAAAAGAGTTGGTTCTCGAATACTCTTCTTTACTATTAGAAGCAACACACCTTTATGAGGGCGATGGTTTTCAAATACTGGCGTATAAAATTATACGACCCGCAGCTTTATAGCAGAGCTAGTTATGAAATACTGTTCTATAAAACCAGTTTTGTGACAGAGCTGTTTCTCGAATACTAGTATAAGAATCAGATTGTTTGAGGAGATCTGTGCCACAAATAACGTTTTAGAAATAAGAAAGCTGCATATTTTTTGTATTGAATGCGGTTGTAATTTAAGTCAGTCTCTTTTTACTTTGACAATTTCAGCCATAGAAATAAGAAAAGCAGATTTCTGACAAAGCTGGTTCTTAAGTAGAAGCCTATAAAATGATAAAAATGTAAGAGAGAGCTGTTTATAAAGTACTCGTGTATAATGTTATAACACAACTTCATGACAGAGCTGATTCTCAAGAAGAGAGAGCTGTTTATAAAGTACTCGTGTATAATATTATAACACAACCTTATGACAGAGCTGATTCTCAAGAAGAGAGAGAGAGAGCTGTTTATAAAGTACTCGTGTATAATGTTATAACACAACCTTATGACAGAGCTGATTCTCAAGTACAGGCTTATAATGTCATTAGAAATATTATACTTTATTCTGTGGTGAAGGAGTTTTGGCAATTTGAACTTTGATATTTGACCTTTATTAAGTTCAGGAAACGTTGCCAATATGTCTCTGAGAAAGTATTTCATTAAGAAAACCTTTTTTTAATAATATTGTTTGTAGAAGGTTTTTACAAATTTTACGTAAGAAGCGAAGATGTTTTAAGGAAAATGAAAACAAAATGGACACTTATGCATAAAATTAATTTACATCTAATGAGGAAACTGGGATTGAAGACTTTGACACTCAAGGCAAGAGGGATAGAGGGAAACAGCGAATAACTTGCTTAATGAGCTTATCTAAATAGAAGTCAGAACAAGGACTGGGGCCACTCGACGTAGATGGTTACAGAGGAAGAGGTCAGCCTATGTGGAAGATAACGATTAAAACTAGACTTGAACAGGTTAAGATTGTATTGATCGCGGAAGCACCCTTTTGGGAGTCGATTCCACAAGGCAGCCGTTCGTATGAAGAAGCGGCTTGAGTGGAACTTACATCTCACCAAGGCGATGGGAAGGGCAGGTCTTATACGTGAAGGTACTTATACTTACCTGGCGTTATGCTGGGGATTTTGACAAATATTGGATCGTTTCTTGGCCTATGGCTGAGATTCGATCAAGGCTTCGACTAGCTTGGACTGGCTCCAGCCTGGACTTGCTAGGACAAGTCATGACCAGCTTTGACTAGGCTATGACCAGCTTGGACATGCTATGACCAATTTTGACCAGTGGCCTTTTGAGTGGAAACACTCGGGTTTCCCACGTTAATCGACCTTGTATCACATCTTGACCTTGTGGGAGTCAAGTAAATACCTATACGTGAAGGTTAGGACTGGGCGAACTAAGTAGTGTAGTTCATAGAAACAGCGATAGAGCAGTTGATAGGCTTGCGACGTCTCGTCTGCGAGAAAGGGGTTGCAGAGTAGAAAATAATTCGTCGCCTACAAGGAGGCGGAGAAGGTTTTTGGATTATATTGAGACTGGGAAGTGGAGACTATGCAGCAGTACTTCATTCTCGTTTAGATCGGACTCTTGTAAAGGTAGGAGGAGAGCGGTACTTGTTGGGGTGTTATGGGGGAACAGGCATTATTTCCCCAGCATCAATTTCCACCTGAGGTCTGGGTTGAGTTGAAGTCCTGACAGTCACTCAAAACACGAGATCAAGACATCGAGGGATCATCCGTTCATTACATTTGGTAAAAGTTCAGCAATATTGGAAGATCACTCGTTTGGCTTTTGAGGCCCTGAATGGGACCAGTCAGATTTTAACCCACTTAGCTGCAAGGGTTAGGTCAGAAGGGACATCAGCTACCAAGCTCGGGTCATCGAGGGTTTTGGAGGTGCACCTATATACCGTTGTATCATCAGCACAGATACTCACAAATGATTGGAGTATAGTCGTAGGTCGATCATTTATGTAGAGGAGGAAGAGGGTTGAACCGCGAAGCGAACCCTAGGGGACGCCCGCATTGATCACATTAGGATCGGAGGACTAGGCATTAACAATTACGTTCAGGAAGGACTTTATAACTGAGAAGAGGCTTCCAGTGACTCCATAGGTAGAGAGCTTGAGCAGTACACTCTTATGCCACACCTTGTCAAAGGCTTTTGAGATATCCAATGTTACCGTCCTTTAGAGGTATTTGTTGTCATGTACCCCACGAATTCTGTGTGTAATCGTAATTAGGGTATAAGCAGTGGACCGGGACATGGAAATCCATACTGTTTGTCGCTCAGGGGATTGTAACTGTTGAAGTGATCAACAACCTTTTTATTGATTATAGCTTCAAAGACTTTACTAATGGCATGTGGCGACTGATGAAGGAAAGAAAAAAAAGGAGGAAGAAAGAAAAGGAAAGAGAAAGAAAGAAAAAAAGAGAATGAAAGAAAAAATAAAGAGGAAGAAAGAAAAGGAAAGAGGAAGAAAGAAAATAGAAAGAGAAAGAAACAAAAGGAAAGAGGAAGAAAGAAAAAGAAAGAATGAAAAAAGAAAGAAGAAAAAAGAAAGAGGAAGAAAGAAAAAAGAAAGAGGAAGAAAGAAAAGGAAAGAGGAAGAAAGAAAAAAGAAAGAGGAAGAAAGAAAAAGAAAGAGGAAGGAAGAAAAAGAAAGAGGAAGAAAGAAAAAAGAAAGTGGAAGAAAGAAAGAGGAATAAAGAAAAGGAAAGAGGAAGAAAGAAAAAGGAAGAGGAAGAAAGAAAAAAGAAAGAGGAAGAAAGAAAAGGAAAGAGAAAGAAAAAAAAGAAAGAGGAAGAAAGAAAGAGGAAGAGGAAGAAAGAAAAGGAAAGAGGAAGAAAGAAAAAAGAAAGAGAAGGAAGAAAAAGAAAGAGGAAGAAAGAAAGAGGAAGAAAGAAAAGGAAAGAGGAAGAAAGAAAAAGAAAGAGGAAGAAAGAAAAAAGAAAGAGGAAGAAAGAAAAAGAAAGAAAAAAGAAAGAGGAAGAAAGAAAAGGAAAGAGGAAGAAAGAAAAGGAAAGAGGAAGAAAGAAAAAAGAAAGAGGAAGAAAGAAAAAGAAAGAGGAAGGAAGAAAAAGAAAGAGGAAGGAAGAAAAAGAAAGAGGAAGAAAGAAAAAAGAAAGAGGAAGAAAGAAAAGGAAAGAGGAAGAAAGAAAAGGAAAGAGGAAGAAAGAAAAAAGAAAGAGGAAGAAAGAAAAAGAAAGAGGAAGAAAGAAAAAAGAAAGAGGAAGAAAGAAAAAGAAAGAAAAAAGAAAGAGGAAGAAAGAAAAGGAAAGAGGAAGAAAGAAAAGGAAAGAGGAAGAAAGAAAAAAGAAAGAGGAAGAAAGAAAAAGAAAGAAAAAAGAAAGAGGAAGAAAGAAAAAAAAGAGGAAGAAAGAAAAAAGAAAGAGGAAGAAAGAAAAAAGAACAATGAAGAAAAAGAAGAACAAATAAAAAAAGATGGACAAAGAAGAAAAAGATGAACAAAGAAAAAGAATAAGAAACTGGTATAAACTATAAGCTTCCTTAATAAGTAAAAAGAAAAAAAAATCTGGTATTATCTGTAGGTATCTATAAACCATTAATACCCACTGGTCAATTCTTAGGATGGTTGGCATTTATGGGTTTAAATTATTTAATAATTTTCCAATGCATTTCTTTATCTTTTGGCAGACTGTGCCAGGTGGAAGTAATTTTTTATAGATTTATCGGGCTCTAGAAATGTATCCTTGAGTCAAATTGGCAAAATTCAATGAACATCTTACAAACCATTAAGTGTTAGCCTGATCCTTGGGGCAGTTGCGATAGATGAGCCTGGTACCTATTTCTTACTGGCACTAATGACCAAAATTTGAACAGAGGAGAATGAAATAAAAATTACTACCCCCCCCCCCAGAAAGCTCTTTATTTTTGCAATATCACGTTAAGACAAAACTTGAAAGATTTGTTTCTACAAAGACGTGCCAAAAATCACGGAGTAGGTAGCTTGTATGCTGTTGGACAACCTATAGCCTTGGAGAAGATGGCCACTCGATGTAGCATCGATAAACCAAGTGACCAGGCCGATAGAGACACATCCTCTCAGTAGCTGTTCGTAGTTTTCTAAGTGGTTTTTTTTTTGCATACGAATAAACCTCATCGACATGTTACACAGCCACATGTTATATTCCTCCAGTGTCCAGTTAGCTGTGCGCTGTGTTTGAAATCACGGTGTTAACCAGAGTACCCACGGACGTTTTGTTCTTTCGTATATGCCATGCAAGCAAATAACACTGTAATTGAAGCCAGTCTCTTTTGACTTTGATAATTTTAGCTATAGACCTCTAGTCACAATACCCGGTCGTCTACTGCGCTGTCACAGCCTGAGATAATCATTTTCGTTAGCTATCCCTGCTACACGTGTGACACCATAAATTAAAGGATTACAATTGTCGTTACGATTACAGAAATGGAATGTCCCATTGATCTCTCACACACTTATATGCCCTCTGATAATTCACGACCTTCTAGACGTACAGAGCACAAACAAAACTTGTCTTGGTATTTTATTTTAACCATTTCACGCCAAACAAGGCGATAAAGCCACTATGGTTTACAGAGTGTAAAATAATTATAGGAAAAGAAAACATTATTAAGGAGAGAAACAAATAAAAAAAAAAGAGCTAAGAAGACAGAAGATAACGATTGACAGAAGGATTTAAAATTTTTGAAGGTCAAATTTGGCTGGAAACCGAAAAGCCGAGAAAGAGTTCTACAAGCCAGAAGTGCGAGAGAAGAAACTGTTGGCATAGAACTTACGGTTAAATCTAGTGATTTCAACTATAAAATGACGAGAACTTTCCAGTAATCTAGTACGGTTAAATTCATAAAGTTTAAGTACCAAACAGAAACACTCAGCAGAAGAATTATTATGAACATATTTATAGAAAAGTCACAGTTACGTTAGATTTTCCTGACATCAACGACAGTTGGATCCGCCGAACTTTACAAAATGGTATTTCATGACCTTTTGAAAGTCAGTGTTATCTTTCCCCTAATCCATTTGTTTGTTCAGCATCTTTCTCAAATCTTCTTCCAGTCCGTCAGAGTTTATGTTGTAAGGTCTTCTCGATTATTATTTTGCTTCGAACTGAAACCCTTTTTTTTTAGAAAATGTCTCTCAGTCCAGAAATCACATGCATTTCCTTGTGCCTACTGCCTTTTCCCAGGTTAAACAACTATTTTAGACGATAGGAAGTCTATATACAGTTTTATTTTCAGTCAATTCACGTCAAATTATCACTTTACTGCAATCAATTCTTTAAGAGTCTCCACACACAAGCAAATAAAATCCCTTGCAAAATTCATAGACAAAGCTCAAACTTTTTTTCACATTGCATAAAAGATGGCGCATGGAATCTTTTATTTCAGCCATATATAAAGAAATATTTATAGCTATTTTCTATATACCAGACAAATAAAGATATATTCTTAGAAGAAAAAAATAAAGTTAAGAAAATATTTCTGTTAATTTTCTGGAGATTGTAGCTTTATTTCATTTGAATAGGTTAAAGAAAACAACAAATTTATATGTGTTTGTATCTATAAATGTGCGTGTATATATATATATATATATATATATATATATATATATATATATATATATATATATATATATATATATATATATATATATATATATTTATATATATTTTTTTAATATATATTTATATAGCTACAGATAAAATGGAGAATTACGGTATTCATTTATCCTGGTCGCTTGTTTTTCCAACGCCTTTCTTTGCTGTGTAGTTCTAAATTTGGAATGTCTGCAACTGAAGTAAATGAAACACGGAATAGGCTTTTGCTTCCATATCGACATTTCTGGGGAAAAAAAACGTCTGCGGCACCGTTGCAAAATTATTCACGGCATCTTGTGAAAGAACAACCGCCCGACAGAAATAAATGGGACTAAATTATTTTTCGTAAGAATAAAAACTAGAGTCAAGAAACAATTGCGTTGTTTTTAGTTTATTTAGTAAATTTTGCCTCGTTTGACACCAACCGACAAGCGCTTACGATCACTAATTTCAGCATTTGATCAGGCTCACGGTTGTTATATCATTTCACCCCAAGCAAGGTAGTAAAGCCACTAATTCGCAAGGGGTTATTGAGTGTGAGAGCATAAGAGAAAGAAAGAAAAAAAAACACAATCAAGCAGAGAAAACAATAAAAAAGCAGGAATTAAGAAAACAGAAGCCAAAAGTGAAAATTGCTAGAGAAGAAACTGTTAGCATAGAACTTGCGGTTATATCTAGCCACTTCAACTGTAAAATGACGAACTCCTATCGCCAATATCGTACCACAATGAATTCATAAAGTCTGGGTAACAGAAATTAAGGTTCATCTGAACAATTATCATTAACGTATTTATAGAAAACGTAGAGAGAATCTAGTTAGGATGGCAAAGTGACTGAAGTCGTGATGTTAGGTCAGGACTTTTTTTTTCCTTAAGCATTACGCCCCGAGCAAGGCGTGAAGCCACTAGGATGCAGGGGGTTGCAGAAGATTTGGAGCAAGAGCAGATAGGAGTGCTAGAAGAAAGGATGAGGAGAAGGATAGATCAAGGTAACTGGAGATGTTGATTGACATTACATTTGAATAGTTGGAGATTATAGCTCTCAGGGAAACAGTAATTGGGAAGGGTGTTCCACAGGCGAGCGGTGCGAAGTATGAAGCTATTGGAGTAGAAGAGACGGCTACATTTAAAAATTTCTACAGTGTAAGGGTGGGAGCGGGATGCTAGCCTCGTAGGGCGCTTGAATTCATGGAGTCTGGGGACCAGTATAAGGACTAATAACATTTTCGATTCTTCTCTGTATTTTATCAAGTATTTCCAAATACATAAAAATAACATCGGTTAATGTTCATGTTATGGTCACACAAAAAGTAGTAGATTTAAATTCACTCATAATTTTCCAAGTTCAAACTCAATACTCAGAATTATTGACCAATCAAATTCACTCGCTCACCAATAAACCATATTCCTCCCCATAATCACCGACAGCTTGGGAAAAAATCTTATGGCCTACTAACGTCTCGCTACAATAGTAATGCAGACAATTCTGAAGACATGAGAATCGCAGACATAAGACTTCGCAAACAACGATTATTCCTGTTTATTTAATCCTCATCAGTTTCCGATATCGATTCTGAAATGATTTTTTTTCATATTTTTTTCTTTTTAAAAAACAGTTTATATTAACCAAAAAACTGGCACCTAAAAAAATAAAGGTTTCACTTCCTCCTCTTGTATGAGGCATGTCCCTTCAGGAAGTTGGCGATCATGTCTCTCCACAATTTCCTATCCTTTGTAGCTTTTAATTAATTACGTCTTTTGGTTATCTTTCCTAAATCCTGTTCTGTCACCCATTTACACAAGCTCGCTAGGTGGGTTACGCATTTTTTTTTCCGCTGTTCCTCTTGCACTGTGAGTATCAAATTTTCTAAGTGCGCTTTTCTAATTATGTGACGTTATAAATTTCTTCTCTCTCTTCCTGATGATAAATATATGTATCTTTTTTTCATTTTTCCCTAAAACTTTGCTCACATATTTGGTCCATGGTATTCTCAGCATCCTCTTGTAGAACCAAATTTCTGTTGCTTCAAGTATCTTCTTCATCTAGAATACAGCAGGATTGATATACAGTGTAACCCGGGTATAAGAGACCCGGATATAAGAGAAACCCGGATATAAGAGAGATTGTCTCTGGTCCCAAATTAGAGCCTGTGTTAATGTATATAAAATAGACCAAACCCGGATGTAAGAGAAACCCGGATATAAGAGACTTCTTCTCCGGTCCCGACAACTCTCTTATATCCGGGTTACACTGTAGTACCATTTTTTTGTTTCTAACGAAATTTTCCTCTTTTTTAATAGTTTGCTTAGCTTTTGGAAAACCTTTTTCGCTATCCCAATGCGCATTCGGATTTCAGTTTCGCAGTTTCCATTCCTCTTTTAAAACACTTTCCAGATATTTAAATTGTTGTGATTGACTGATTTTGGTAACACCGATTCGTAATTTGCATGTTTGGCTGTTCCTTTAACTAATAACCATTTTGTTTTTTTTTTTGCTGTCGATGTTTAGTCATTCTTGATCTTGTACATTCATTTCTATTATATGTCTGTCATCAACACTGTGTCGTCTGCATACCTTATGTTGTTAAAATGGTGGCCCCAAATAATTGATCCGAGAAGGACTTCTAATTCTCGCAGAATCGATTCACTGTATAGGTCGAATATCTGGTGAGAAGAGACATCCTTGTCTGATACCTCTTTCTATTTTTGTATAAACCCTGAATTTTGTAATCGGTATCCACCCCTGCAAGGCAGTAAAGCCACTAAGAAACAAGAGGTTACCGACTGCGGAAGAATTAGAAATAGAAACACTCATAAGGAGCAGGAAGAGGTAAAAGTAATCACGAAGACAGTAGATTGCGACTGACACTGCATTAAAATCTTTGCAGATTAAAGTTTACTGAAAAGCATGGAGCCAGAAGGGAATTCCACTAGCGAGAAGTGGGGAAAAAAAAACTGTTAGCA